GACGCTTAACGACTGAGCCACCCAGGCGCCCCCCCAATAAGCATTTTTTAAAACTTTTTCATTTACAGAGTTACTGTTTTACTCATATACTTTTGCAAAAGTATTCCTTCAAAAGTACTTCATCTTCAAGGAGATTCAAGTAAAGCACTTTTGACAAGCACAGGTTTCTGATAACTTTAAGATCATAAAACTGAACTAGGTAAGAATTTCCAGAACTAATGATAAAACTGGATTAAAGCCAAACAAGAATTACATGGGACTCAGTGAATTGATGAGGATAATTACAATTTTTAAAACCTTTTGTTTGAAACTTTGCTGTTTTTTTTAATGGCTTCTTTTTCCAGATTTAAAGAAACTTTTTTCTCTTGAGCTACCTACATCTTAGAGCAACTTGGTAAAGTGTATTTTTGTGAACAAAGATGGAACAACTTTTCTCCCTACCTGATCCCTCCAGAACTTGGAGTGAGTATTCTTATTTCATGGCAATATTTGTGTAAGTTCAATGAGAAGCTGTTGCCTTGTTAACAGGACACAATTGAAAACATTGGTTATATTACTAAAGCTTTGACTACAAGTCATATCTGAGAGAGATCTACATAGACTCAGATATCACCAGACAGTTTTAAGGAACTAAGGTGGTCTTTCTGGCAATCAAAGCCCTTTGGAAAAAAAATCAGCCTGGTGCCTTATTTACAGGGTTCCTGGCAGCATTACCAGGTAAGTAAGGAAAGTCACTTCCTGGCAGGTTTGGGAACCTCAGAAAATGTGAGGAACCTCAAGAAGAGAGGAATTCATCCAAATCTATAGTTAGTGCAAGCAAAGTCTAATGATGAAAATTCAGCTTGGCTTCATAGCCTCCAGAGGCTTTTAAAAATCCAATCTGAGATTCCTTATGAAAAGTTCCAGCAAAGCAGATTTAGAGGAGCCTATATGATCAATCATTATTCCTGTTGCACTTATGTAGATAATCAGGCCAAGTTTATTGAAACTAGACTTTGCAAACACATTTGTCTTACTGTGGTTTTCGATAAAAATGGAGTTGCCTATAGAGAGGAAACTTATGTTTTATTTTATTTTTTTAATATCATTTATTTTTTTATTTTTTTAAAGATTTATTTATTGGAGAGAGAGAGAGCACAGCATGGGGAGCAGCAGGCAGAGGGAGAGGGAGAAGCAGGCTCGCCTAGCAGGGAGCCCAATGCGGGGCTCGATCCCAGGACTCCGGGATCACGACCCGAGCTGAAGACACTTAACAACTGAGCCACCCAGGCACCCCAAAACCTATGTTTTAGTAATACACCTTTGTGGATATCAAATTCTAGTACTGTTAATTATCTTTGAGGTTTTGTTTTCTACCTATAAAATGGACTATATCCTGAACTCTTCTACTTTCCCTCCATATATGGCTACAACCCTCCAAATTGACATTTCCAACGTTCTCTCATCCTTCTGATTTGGAATCAATGTGAAGAAAAAATCCCTTTTCCTGAAGCCATGCAAGCTAAAGCTAAACAACTCGATATAAACTTCAAAGAAACCACCACAACAGCTCATGTATAGACAATCTTTATGCCTATTGCAGTGTGAGCTACTGAGAAAGATCATTAGAGACATTCAAACTGCAAACCAGGAAAATCTATCAGATTGCCACTTCCTGCCCTTGGTCCATCTAAAGATGCTTTAAGCAGTACATCTAGAAATCTTCTTGACTGGTTGCCTTCAGAAGTCAGAAGCTGAAATCATAATTTGCCCCAATTACTAACCATTTTTTGTTTCCAAAGAAGTGTCTCTTCTTAAATAACGTGATTGCTTGCATTATAGACCTAACTTTTGGAGCCCACCTGCATCACCAACTCTTGAAATGAGACAAAACTGTTTAACCTAAACTGTTTCTGGGCTGCAAAACTTGAAGTTTCAAAAGCAAGACTGTAGAGGAGCAGAATACATGAAAATGTGCCACTTTGGCATGTGGATTATTTGAGCTGAAGACAATCAAGACCCAGCAGTCTTTAGAAAAACACTTACCTCTCTCTTAACTATCTAAAGAATTTAGATAGTGGGCCTGCCTCAGAGAGAGAACTATTATCAAAGATAACTTTTAGGGGCACCTGGGTGGCTCAGTCGTTAAGCGTCTGCCTTCGGCTCAGGTCATGATCCCAGGGTCCTGGGATCGAGCCCCGCATCGGGCTCCCTGCTCCGCAGGAAGCCTGCTTCTCCCTCTCCCACTCCCCCTGCTTGTGTTCCCTCGCTCGCTGTGTCTCTCTCTGTCAAATAAATAAATAAAATCTTTAAAAAAATAAAAAGATAACTTTTATCTGAATTACCTATCTGCATGGTAGGGCAAACACCTAATTACCAACCATCTGCTCTTCTTATTGTCCTGTGAGTCTTATTCCCCTTTGAAGCTCCAGGCCCCTATCCCATTCCTTAGCTCATGATGGTATATAATAAGCCCTGACTGCTCTACTTACCCTTGAGTCTCATATTTTTATGGGATCCCATACAAACAAAATTAAATTTGTTTTTCTCCTGTTAGTCTGTCTTATGTCAAGTTAACTATCAGACCAGCCAAAGAACATAGGAGGGTAGAAGTAAAATTTTTCCTCCCCTACACTGGTCTTCATAAAAGTCCCTGTGTGAATAATGGAGCTAGTCTTTAAAGGTCATGTTTTTAAAGTTGTCTCACATTTTAGAGACTAAATTAGAGGAGGTTGTTTTTTTTTTTCTTTTTAGGATAAAGTTTTAATGGTTCCTCTGCATAGCAAGAAATGAGCAATCACGAGACAAACTTAAAAAGTAGACAAAACTTGTCCCTCCAAAACCAGTATCTTCTACTTATTTTGAAGTACTACGGAGCATCTTGAATCCTAGGCCCATACCTACACTCAAACCTACCCTCAACCCCACCATTTTCTTTGTCCTGTTCCCTTACGGTCTTATTTTCTACTAAAAAATTACCAAATTCATATGTTCAGCTCAGTTAAGATCTGCAAGATATAATCCAGAGAAATGACTAATAATCTAAGCTTTTTGGCATACAAAATTAACAGTGGGAAAGCAGGCTTCTTTGGGGTTCCAGTTGCTTTCCCTACATACAGAGTCAATCCTAAAGAAGATGTATTTTCATTTCCGAAAGAAAGTATTGTCCTATATTTCTATTACTTGAAACATTCAATAAGAAATCTGCCCCCCCCAAAAAAGAAGAAGACGATAGTAGGAAGGGAAAAATGAAAGGGGGGAAATCGGAGGGGGAGATGAACCATGAGAGACTGAGAAACAAACGGAGGGTTCTAGAGGGGAGGGGGGTGGGGGGATGGGTTAGCCTGGTGATGGGTATTAAAGAGGGCACATATTGAATGGAGCACTGGGTGTTATACGCAAACAATGAATCATGGAACACTACATCAAAAACTAATGATGTAATGTATGGTGATTAAAATAACATAATAAAATTAAATTAAATTAAAACAGAAATCTAAAGAGTTAAGACCACATGTATCTCAGGAAATTCTTTGTTCCTAATCTCAAAGTTATTAAGATTCTACCAAAAGATACCCATCAGGGCAAAAGAAATCTCAAACATCAATATCGCAGTCAAGATTGTATGTAATATACATAAAGTACGTATTATTTTGAGAATGTGCCTAAAAACTCACCATACCCACTTTAAACTATGCATTGACTAATGATAAGATATAATTCAGGATATGATTTTCTCAATGTCAGTTCCATAGAATCTCCAGATTTCTTATAGCAGTGACAAAAATGAATAACAGAACCAGTAAGTGTTCTTTTCTGATTCCATACATCTCTTGGTTAATTGAGTTCTCCCTTTCTACCTGTGTTTTCTTCATAGCCCTTAGTGATTATATGATACAGTTGGCTTCTTTGTTTATTGCTTATCTCTATTCAATATGAGAATAAAATATAAATTCTGTGAGGACAGGGATTTTTTTTTTTACTGTTGTATCTCTGATGCCTGAAAAAGTCTGACACGTATTAGGTACTTTTTAAATATTTGATGAATGAAAGAGAACAATATCAATATAATAGTGAGATAATAGGGGCACCTAGGTGGCTCAGTTGTTAAGTGTCTGCCTTCGGCTCAGGTCATGATCCCGGGGTCCTGGGATGGAGCCCCACGTCGGGCTCCCTGCTCGGCGGGAAGCCTGCTTCTCTCCCTCTCCCACCCCCCTGCTTGTGTTCCCTCTCTTGCTGTGTCTCTATCAAATAAATAAATAATATCTTAAAAAATAGTGAGATAAGTCAAACAGGGATTCTATTATAATGGAACAATAGGAAAGGAGATGAATGATTGATAGATGCCAGTATCTGTTTGTATCTACATCTATATATGTATTTACATACCTATATACCTGAAAAAGTAATGCTGAGTTAATTTCCTTCACTTTTGAACAATTATTAGTAATTTCTGTTGATAAAACTAGTGTACTGTAAAGCACAATAATATTTTGCCTTACTCTCAAGCCTTTTTAGTTTATATTGTTATTTAATTTAAATGTCTTTTTTATCATAAGTCACTTTAAATCAGAATTGGAAGTAAATGGAATTGCTTTTACTAATGATGATCTATTAACTAGAAAAAATACTCATTAGGCACAGTACTAGACACTCAAAAACAAGTGTAACCTGACCTATCCTTGCTTTAAGATTTCTGTTCTCCTGAAAATTGAGAGCCTAGAAAAATATTGATTAAAATAGGGCTTCCTAAGAAAAGAACTAGCATATTCTCTTTACCAACAGCCAGAAAAACAAGAATGTTGATGACAGAACTATAACAAGATTCTTACTTAAACTAGTTTACTCCTAGTTAAAACTGAATATTAGATTTTCCATAAGTCTATGTTTGAGGTGCTTGCTAATTTATCTTGTTTATAGACCATATGCAAGAGCGTTTTGATTTCCATAACTACAAAATACACTGAAAGAAAATAAATCTGCTAGCAAATAGCTATTTAGTTACTGCTCTTATCTCATACCTTTCCAGCACTGTTCATCACTCCACTCACTCCAGATTCCATCATCTGAGCAATACATATTTACTTTACTTCTTACCAAAAAGCATAATTTTTGGCTTTCATTTGATGTTCTTGTGATTTGTATCTCATTTTCAACTGTGGTAGTCTGAAAGCCAAGTAAAAAATAAGGCACTATTATTTGATCTAATTGCAGCTAGATAGATCCCATTTGATTTGTCACTTTTGTAGTGGATTTTGTTACATAAAATATAAACATCAAGTGACTAGAAAGCTATATACCAAATCTTAACAATGATTATCTCTCTGTATGGTGGGTTTTTTTTTTCATTTTTTTCTTCCCTTCCTTACCTATATTATAAAATTTTTCTATATTGATAATGGATCACCTGTGGTAAAGGCACGTGTGACAGAGCAAAATGCCTACACAGCTTTAGTGTTTTTGATACCCAGTATCTGGATTAGTGTCAAATTTCTCAGATTACACAAACTGGAAAACGCTACATATACTGAGTTAGCAAAAGGAGCCATCATGTGAATGTTATTTCTATGGAAACTACGGAGTTCATACACATAGTCTTTTTTTTCTCCGTATTTTGGTTAACTTCCATAAAAGCTGTGTAACAGTGCTCAGGGCTTAGCATGAAACTTCTTCAGATATGAGAATACACAAGGCTGGATGATCTCAAAGGGAAAAAAAAAAATCACTGAAGAAATTGCTTCAGTTTTGCATTTCAAAGAACTGAACAGTATCTCTCATCCAAAATAACAGCTTCTCTTTGGTTGTAACTTCTTGGGAACCAGCATAATGTAATGGACTGGGAATAGCTGAGTAATTTGTAAATCATTTCACTTCCTTGCGACATGTAAATCAATTCAACTCCCAGTTTTCTCAACGGTATGTGAAATTAATAATTAGAACTAATGGCTCACCTACGTGTCTCCACCACTTTCTAAGTTGGAAACCAATAAATAAAATTAACATATAACAATGTAGGGCTAAAGGCATCATCACATTGTTGTTGCTGGGGGGTAATGAGTCTTGCAATCATTGTCTACTTCCTCTGTCAGCCCCTCTTCTGCACTACAAGCAATTCAAGTAGCCCTGTCAGTCTAATTCTGACCTGATGCTTGTTCCTCAAGAAGTGGTTTTTACGTTTGTGTTGTTTTCCTTTCTTTTCTTTTCACCTAACGTCTCATCATAACCCATCACATACTTGTACTTGGCAACTTTAATTTATTGGCACAATATTAGAAACAAATGACTACATTATCTCTAAATTCCTAATGTAGCTTTAAAATTGGTATGACTGGTTATGCTTTCAGACCACAAGCAACCATCTTTCTTTTGTCCCCTACATTATATTGTTTTCTGGAAATTATACAAAGATACATGTCATATTCTATTCCTCATATGGATAGCAACTGATTCTGGTTCTCATGTTTGCTTTATTTTATTCAAAAGGCTATGTTTATGATTTTCCCAAATAAATGCAATGTTCATACCACCCAGGTAGTATCATCTTCTATGAATTCAATTTCATAAATGAAACACTTTGCTGGAATGGGTCCTTTAGGCATGCTCCATTTCAGGTTAATTTCCTCTGAATTCTTTACAGTAAGACTAAGGTAGTCTGGTGGCAAAGGTTTAACTGAAAAGCAAAAGGAAGCCATTTCAACATGGAGGTCATTAAGTTTAGCAGTAGCTCTTTTCTTTTCTTTTTTTTTTTTTTAAAGATTTTATTTATTTGACAGAGAGACAGCGAGAAAGGGAACACAAGCAGGGCGAGTGGGAAAGGGAGAAGCAGGCTTCCCGCTGAGCAGGGAGCCCGATGCGGGCGGATTCCAGGACCCTGGGATCATGACCTGAGCCAAAGGCAGATGCTTAACGACTGAGCCACCCAGGCGCCCTTAGCAGTAGCTCTTATCAAAAGCTAGGGACACCTCTAGGATAAATCAATCGGATGGGTTAAGACTAATCTCTATAATGTGAATTAAAATCAAAGTTGCTTGCCAACCAAGATTAGTTTATTGAGAAACTTGGTTATTTTGGAAACTAAATATGGATAAGTCCCATACTGACAAATATTTAAGCCCAAAAGAAAGGTTAGAAGAGCCAAATCATTACAGTCATTTTTCCATTTGGTAGCATTAGGAACAACCACTACAACCATTACTACTACTATTTTTATCAATAGCTAACTCTCATTTATACCTTATGATATGTCAGGCACTGAACCAGGGATGTCACATCATAAACTCACTCATGGGGGTGTCTAGGTGGCTCATTCGGTTAAGTGTCTGCCTTCAGCTCAGGTCATGATCCCAGGGTCTTGGGATCGAGCCCCTCATTGGGCTCCTTGTTCAGCAACGGAGTCTGTTTCTCCTTCCTCCCTCCCCCCACCACCCTGCTCATGCTCTCTTGCTCACTCTCTCAAATAAATAAAATCTTAAAAAAAAAAAAACAACTCACTCATGTCATAATAAACCTATGAAGTGTCCTCTATTATCCTCATTTTACTGATAAGGAAATTGACACAGACATTAAAAGTATCTGGCCCAAAGTCATACAGCTAGAAAGTGGTCAATCTAAGATTCAGATCCAGGTATGGCTGACTCTAAAATCTGTTATTATTGTAACTCTTAAAACTAAGAACTCAGACTCAGAATACCCAACCATTTGCCCATTGAGATGTGGGAATAAGGGATTCTATAATTACTCCATCATTAACACTAGACAAAAATACTTTACAGCAGACCAACTCTTTGAAGCTGGGGAATAAATTGTAAATTCTAAATAAAAATCTAAAAAAAAAAAATTATTCTTCATTCAATTCCTTATCCCTGTACTTTTATATTTAATAAGAGCTTCTTCATATGCTCTCTTGGCCCTCATTTTTCTGGCTTTGCATTTCCATAAGTTTCTCTATATCTTTGTCTCCATCTCTTCTCTTCCATGTGGTTGTAAATGGCCTAAACTAGAAACATTTCGAAGTTGTTTAACTCACCTATATTTTGAAGCTGAAAAATAAAATAGCTGGGTCTGATAGGATGGGATTCTGATGATCCATTAACACAGATATAGAAATCTTTATAGTCTGATGACTCCAAATAGGGAAACCTGCATCCCATATTTTTTCCATTAACATTGATGTAATCAGTGCACTGTATTGCATGGTTCAAGCCCTCATACCTGTAAAAAGAGGTATTGTAAGAATTGTGCTTACCAATGTCTTAAAGTATCATGGTATTCAGTTTTCAATTATCTTAAGATGCCAAGTGAATTAAAAAATCACTTAATAACATGCAATATTTATTGAGCAATATTTATTGAGCACCAATATTTACTGATGTTGCTCAACATCCTATGCTATGTGCTAGGGATACAATAGTAAAGAAAGCAGACATAGTCCATAATTTCATGGAGATTACAATCTGGTGGGAGTCTTTACAAAATATCAGAGATAAGGCAAGGGTTCTTACTCATGTACTTAGGTTACGTTGACTTGCCCAGAGGATTTGTGAATCAAAGAGTAAGATTTCTATTAAGAAAACCTGGGGTTTATATAGATAATGCTGGGTGATACTGCCTTTTTTATATTGTACTGGAGAACTTAGAAGAAAGCACATCTAAAAAGCAGACTTACAAAATATTGTTATGTCTAATAAAATGAATGAAAGTCCTCTGAAGATGTAATACACATCAAGAGCTAAGCCTCAGAAAAGCCAACAGAGGGGTCAAAAAGAAAAAGAGCTGTCTGGCAAGTAAATATCTAATTTCCCATTCTCCTAGACAAGGAATGTTGCCATATCATTGAAAGTTAACCTCTTTCCAGTAATAAAGCCAGTGGGAATTAGGGTGGATTTCCCTACTGATTTTCAAAGCACAAATGCCTGGTTTGTTCTCCTAAATTATACTTTGTAATGCAAAATGTGACATCTGTAAAAGCAGCCAAAATCCCTTTTGAAATTAGGCCAATCTAGCAGCTGATCAGGTGCTGATACAAATAGCCAGACTTTACTGAATTCACTTTGTGCCAAGTATTTAGTTTGTTTCTGTTGTTGTTGGTTTGTTTTTTACCCCAAGTTGTTATTTATTTGCATGAGGGGGGTAATAAAAGAACTTTATGATAGTGAAAATATACTTCATTTTTTAACACAATAGCTGCCAGCAGCTAGAGACAGGGAAGAAAATACAAGCATTCTATAATAAGTTTAATTTCCCTTTTCAAATAGCGAAGTATTTATTTTGGGCAGAGTTTGCAAAGTGATAGTCTCTTGGTAAGTTCACCTGATTATGTTTGGGAGACTTGAGTTCTAGGCTTGACTTTACCCAGATTTACTATGTGCCAATGTGAAGCCTCATGGCTCCCTTATTTTCCAGTTTCTAAGATGTCAGTATTTATCCCTCACTACTAAGATGAGGATAAAGATATGTTAAATATGAACTATAATGTATAAAAGGGCAGAGACTTTGTCTTATTCATACTTTTGGCCTTTTTATCTAGAATAGTGCCTGGCGTTTAAATAATTGCTTAATATTTGTTGAATTAATGAACAAATAAATTAGACTGTAGAAATTGACCCAGCCAATTCCAGATGAAGAAACTGAAACCCCAGAAAGGAAATCTGCTTGCCCAAGACCACCAAACTCAATGATGCCAGAGCAGGCATTAGAACCCAGTTCTCAGTATTCTCAATAGCTTATGCCTTATCACTTATATCTTATGATTTGTCTAAAGAAAAAAGCCATGATAATTTGGGCCTGAAACACAAAGAGTAACACTTTGTCCTCTCTTGCTTTTTTATGTTATTTAATAAATGAATAAATTCTGATACATATTTATCAATGTCCCAATACTCTCATTTGTTTCATTCATTTAATGAATATTTTGTGACTGATCTACTATAGGCATCGCACAGCAGAGATAGTGAAGAGAAATGTAAGAAACAGTTCATGCCCACCAATCTCTTAAAAATTTAAGGGAGTAGACAAAGCACACATATATGACAAAAATTTAAATGCCATCCAGACTAGGAATTAAGAGCCAAAATAAGCAATAGTTCAGAGAAAAACTGAACAGAAGCTGATGTGACCAGTAAAGAGTAATGAAACTGAATACCAGATGGGCCTTGAAAGATGGGTAAGACTTAGTGAGAAGGCCAGAGGCATTCCAGATAGTAATTCACACAAAGACATAAAAGATCATAACATGGGTGAGAAAAAAAATGTAGAGATGGGTCTAAATGGAATGGAACACTCACACTGGTGATAGTAGAAGGTAATGTTGGAAAAGCAGTGATACAGTGAGGCAGAAATTTGAATGCCAGACTTGATTTTTATCCTGGGGGCAATGAATAGACACTGGAAGTTTTTGATATATGAAAATAGCAATATAGGAAGATAAATCTGGCTACAGTGTGCAGAATGAATAGGAAGGGAAGAGACTAGAAGCAGAGACCATCATTTGGGAAACTATGGCAGTCATCCAGGTGTGGAATGAGGTGAGCCTCCAGTGGAGTTCTTATAGTAGAGATGAGAAGTAAAGAACAGATGTGCAACCCTGGAAAGGAGTGTCAGAATGCAGTGATCAGTGTTATCATGAAACAATGAAGGAATGAAGGAGATAGAAGATTCAGATGGCTCTAAGTTTAAAAGCCTCAGTGATAGTTAAAAAAGATAGGGAAGTCAGAAAAAGGATCCAGTGTTAATAGGTACCTGTTTTTTTAAAAGGAGAGATTATAAAATATGCCAAAACTTTTTAGGGTATAATCCTATATATCTAAAGGATACAAAATTTAATCCAGTACAGGAACAGTGTTGCATTCCTTATATCACCCATAGGGTGACTTCCAGTAGCTACAGCCTAAACCTACTTACTTCCATTGAAAAACCCCAAATAATTGTAAGCAACCTTCATCATAAATACATCTCTGAAAAATAATAAATTTAATTTAGTAAAAATACAGTTACTCACACTATAATTTTTATAGATACTTTCTTAATGTGGAATTCTTATTATAAAAATACTTACCAGTAAAACAATTGGTAATTGGTATCAAAATGGACACCCATGCCAGATTTCCAAGAGCAGAGTAAATATTGCCAGTTGTAATATACACAGTCCATATCCTGAATTTTAGTTTCCAGATTTCCTAAGGAATGAATGAACGGTGAATGCTTGAAAAGCATGGTGATGAATCATTTGGGGAATCACTATGCAATTTTAATTCATTTCTTTTGATCTCTCCATTTCATTTAGCAATCAATATAATCAGGAATATTCCAAAAGGAAATTGTTAGAAATCACTTTACTGTAATGAGGCATGTAAAAATCAAAAAACTTTGAGGGCTCATTTAATGGTACTAGTGTAAGCATATGCAAAGGTACTAAATAATTCTAGGACACTCTGAGCAGCTGAGCAAATACTCACATACATATTTACTAATATGGCCTCAAAACCGGGGACTATATTAACCTAATAAGATGCAGGTTTTGCCAAATTTGTTTGCTGATTTAAAGGATTCAAAAAGGCCAGTCACCCACTCCTAAGAAGAATTCTATTTGTTGCCACACTTTCATTTATACATACAATCTGGTAAATACGGGTTAAGGGCTTTATGCCCTATATGGATTGTTCTGACAGCATTAAATATGAAAAGAGAACTTTATTTTAACCTCGTGGTGATGTCCAATAAGTAGTTTCTGACCATGAACTTCGAACTTCTGATCCATTGGTGCATTGCGCTGGCAGAAGTGTGTGTATCTTTGCTTCAATACCTTTGTTAAGATCAAACCCGTCTTTGTAATGTAGATTCTTGGTAATGATGGTCTGTTTGATAAGAAGATGAGACAAAGTCAAACTTATAAACAGTGAGAGCATCATGAGCCACATTATTAGGGCTAAGAAGTCACCCTGGAGTGTTCTCAATATCTAAGAAATTCCTAATGATTATCTGATACAGTGTCCTAGATATATTCCTGGCAGGCTCATTTCTGCATATTATATCATCTGATGAGATCATCTGAATCTGAACTTCTTATTCAAAATAACCCCAGGGGTGCCTGGCTGGCCTAGTCCGTAGAGCATGCGACTCTTGATCTTGGGGTTGTGAGTTCGAGCCCCATGTTGGGTGTACAGCCTAGTTAAAAACAAACAAACAGGGCGCCTGGGTGGCTCAGTTGGTTAAGCGACTGCCTTTGGCTCAGGTCATGATCCTGGAGTCCCTGGATCGAGTCCCGCATCGGGCTCCCTGCTCGGCAGAGAGTCTGCTTCTCCCTCTGACCCTCCCCCCTCTCATGTGCTCTCTCTCTCTCTCTCTCTCATTCTCTCTGTCTCAAATAAATAAAATCTTAAAAAAAAAACAAACAACGATGACAACAACAACAAACAAAACAAAAGAAAACCAAAAATAACCCCAAAAAACTCTGGAAAAGAGAAGAGTCTCTATGGCAAGAACTTGAGCTATAATGAACTTGAAATCAAGAGATAATTTTCAGATACCATATGCATATTACATGACAAATGATCTAATCACATTTCAAATATCACTTGAACTCTTCAGGAATCATATACAGTAAAATCTTGGAGGTAACTGGAGAAAGCCAGACAAATTGTGAGCTCCCAGAGGACTACAATCATGTCATTTATCCTTGTATTCCCAATATCTAGCCAAGTACCTAGCACAAAATGTTGCTCAATAAATGTTGTATTTGAATTGTCTCTTGAAACTACCTAAACTGAACGAGGAAGGTTAACAGTATGCCTCATACAACAGAAATCTTTGAATGAACACGCTTGACTATGTCGTTAGTAAGTCAGTAAACTTTCATTGAACACTTACTATAATATATGCAAAGAACTATGCTGTGTTCTGTGGGATAAGTACAAAGAAAAATAAGGCTTAATTCCTACAGAGAAAAAGCTTATGGTCCAATAGCATATATAAGACCCTTATACAGGTATGTAAGTAACTGTAAAATATAGTAAAATGTGTAAGTATTCTTCAAGTCCGTATTCCATGGATCAATTTTTTTTTCCTGTACTTCTAATGGTAGTCTTAATACTGGGTGGGGTAAAAATAGATGTGGCAGGATACACAGGAGATAGCAGCAGGCATGGCAGCTTGTTATTTCTTAATAGCTATTGAGGGGGCACCTGGGTGGCTCAGTTGGTTAAGCGTCTGCCTTTGGCTCAGGTCATGATCTCAGGGTCCTGGAATCGAGCCCTGTATGGGCTCTCTGCTCAGCGGGAAGTCTGCTTCTCCCTCTCCCTCTGCCGCCGCTCTGCCTACTTGTGTTCTCTCTATCAGATAAATCTTTAAAAAAAAATAGCTATTGAGATACAGGAATCAGAGTGGACACTGACATAGAAAATTACAAGAAAGGTCCTAATAATCACACCAATATTGCAAGTGCATGCTTTACTTACCTTCCAGTGTTTGCTATCAATGTTTCGGTATTTTAATTCATATTCTATTGTGCATTCCTTAAAATTATCCAGAAACAGTGGAGGTTGCCATTGCAAAGAGAGATAACCTAAATATCCAGGGTCCACTATCTCAAAATCCTGAGGAGGATTAACTGAAATAAAATCAATAAAATATTTTTACTTTTTTCCTATATCTTATGACAAAACTTGCTAAATCTAGATTACTTCCATATGTCCATCAGGTGGTGAATGGATAAACTGTAGTACATCTACACAATGGAACATTATTCAGCCATAAGAAAGAATGAAGTACTGATCCATGCTACAACGTGCAAGAGCCCTGAAAACATTAAGCTAATTTGTAAGAAGCCAATCACAAAAGATCACATAAGACCAATTTATATGAAATATTCAGAATAGGCAAATCCACAGAGACAAAAGTCAATCAGTGGTTGCCAGAGGCTGGAGGAAAGGAAGAATAACACGACTGCTGTATAAATATTCGATTTCTTTGGGGGAGGGGATATAAATATTCTGGAATTGAGTAGTTGGGGCTGTTACACAAGTATATTGTGAAGATACTACACACCACTGAACAGTTCACTTTAAAAGGCTGTGTTTTATGTTATGGAAATCATATCAATAAAGCTGTTAAAAAGCCTAGAATACTGCTATATGCAAATATGACTTTGCCTACCTAGGTACTAAGTTTTCATAGAAACAGGCAATTCAACATGGAATTATCTCTGTGGTTATAAAGACCAGATTTGGCCTAGGATGGGAACACTTTATTACATAAATCACTCTAATAGCAAGAACCAATCAGTATTAATTCAGTGTTTACTATATGCATATAACTTACAAAAGGGATAGAAAGTGTAAAATATGACTACTATGGCTAAACACCTTAAGGATTAGAACAAGCAGATCTTGTCATTCCATTCTGGTTAACTGAATCTGCCAACTAAAGTTCAGAGCTATCCCAGGGCCAACCAGGGCCACTCTTTGGAAGGACATAAAAAAAAATGTCAGGCAGCTGAGCAAAGTGACATCAGGAAAAAGCCCATTTTATTTGTGGGGAGGGAGCAGTGGATGGCAGTGGCTCCCCCAACTGGTGATTTAAAAAGCAAACAAACAAATAATTCTATAAATTTTCCTACTAGCAAATCTAATATTACTATAGTACTGCCCTCATGTTGCCTTTCTGCTAATAATTTTCCTTTCATTTCTGCCCATTTGCTCATTTTAATGCCTAACTTCATAATACTTACTGAGGTGAAGAAAAGAATCTACCAAAAGAAATTGTGGTACAAATTATGATCTGACATGGGACCCCCACCAGGTACCAATAAAGGTCTCTTTTAAGAACGAAATGACAGTCCTATTGTTTCAACTCTTAAGGTTACAAATCTTTGTGAAATGCATAGTTCTGATTACCTTCTGCAATAAAAATTCATTAGACATGATTTAATAATTCTGTAATTATTTTTAAATTTTACTTTAAATCTCTGTATATTTTTCCATATTTATCTAATTGTCTCAAAGCTTAAGGACCGCAAATAAGGAAAATTTCCAGTTAGTTGAGTACCAGGCAATGAGGTTTCAGATAGTTAACCTATTTCTTAGAAGACTATACAAAAAGGTATGGAAAGCGTCTTTTAGTTTGGCTTTTATCCTGCAAAATGTTATCATTAGTTACCTTATATGTGAAGCTGACTAGTAAGAACACATCATTTGTGTATGGACTTCCTGAAATATTTCCAGTAACAATCTATCTACTTGTTATGCACTTTCACAGGATAGGTTGAAAAGACAGTTAATATCCCCAATTTTAAAACTACTCCATTGTTGGTTTACCTTTTATCTCAGCATTTGAAGGCATAGAGCCAAATGTTGTGCAAATAATCAGGGTATAGAGGCATCTGACATCCAAATGAATGAAAGCCATTTCTCCAAGATTTAATACTTTGAAATTTCCACTCTAAGAAAGAAAAATACAACATTTTAACTTTATCTTACTTCAAATAACCAAGACTAAATGTGATTAAAAACACATTTGGAAACTCTGTGTGCTTTCTACCAGGAATTGGGAAAACTGTGCCCCTTTGAACCATGGAAACAGAAAAAACCAGGTTTGGAACCAATAACCTGGAAAGGGAGGATTCTAGGCTCATTTTTCTATAAGAGTTAAAAAAAAAAAAAAAGGCAAAACAAACATACAACTGCCTGTATCCCTTCATACCCCACCCCCAAAGAGACTTTTTCATACATCACATGCTCCAGCCAGGATAGGATAACTTCAAATAGGCTTCAGCCTGAAGACTGAGTCAGACCCAGCAGTGTCCTTATTGGTTCACAGTGGGAGTTATGATATCATTAATCTCTATAGCAAGCCTATCCCCTAGCAGCAAAGTAAAAACATTGATACATATACTCTTTTCTGAGATTAAAAAGTATTTGAGGGGCGCCTGGGTGGCTCAGTCGTTGGGCGTCTGCCTTCGGCTCAGGTCATGATCCCAGGGTCCTGGGATTGAGCCCCGCATCGGGCTCCCTGCTCCGTGGGAGGCCTGCTTCTCCCTCTCCCACTCCCCCTGCTTCTGTTCCTGCTCTCACTGTGTCTCTCTGTCAAATAAACAAAATCTTTAAAAAAAAAAAAAGTATCTGAAAGTTATCTGATTACTGAGCACAGAACCTACACCAAAGCCTCAGATACCTCAGAAATTTTTTTGCTCCATAAATATTAAACCCCTGTTCTCTACTCTTTATCTGTTCCACTCTTTCCTGTTTGCTGTATCAGTAAATAGCATTCTCATCTTCCCAGTTGCCCAAACCAGAAACCTGGGAGTTTTCTTCAAATTCTCCCTCTCCCATACAACCTCTCCATTATCACGACCCCTTCCAAGATGAGGAATTTATCATCAGGATTTCATTATCCAGTCTTTACTGCCTCCAAGCCATTCTCCATACCACATACAGCAAGAATGACCTCTCTAAAGGGCAAATCTTACTTTTCACCTGTTTCTTAAAACAACAACACTTCACTGTCATAGAATACAACTTAATAGTCTTTACATTCTTGAAGAATATTGATTGTATGATCAAAATTTAAAGGATTCATGTCTCCACATACCTACTTAATCAACAACCACTCTTCTTTCAAAGAAAAATCACTACTCCCAGTTCTATACTTTTCTTTGAGTCTATATTCCTGGAACCAACAATTTCACAGGAAGTTAAGGAGTAAAGGTCATTATTCCAATATTCAGTGATTACCTTTCTTTTCTCCTACATAAATTCATTAAGCAGGGGAGACCCTCTCTCCCTGCACCACCCTCTTCAACCTACCTGGTCCATCTGTAATGTTCTAACAGTGGTAGGTTTCAATTATTACATCATAGAATCTTGAGATCAAACTATTAAAGCCAGCATGTATTTTGGAGACCATGTTAGCCCAGCCTCATTTATATACTGGGAAGTAAAACTCAGACTTGCCCAAGATTACACAGCAAGTTAGTAACAGAGTTGGAAGTAGGACAGAAATATGATTCTTAACCCAATGTACTTCCACCCTATTATGCTGGATCCCACACATTTGAGGATTATGAAAGCTCTTCCTCTGGGACTCCAGCATTTTAGTCTTCCTTCAATTAGCTAGCCAGGCTGAATCCACACCATACTATTTTTTTCTATGTCTCATAAAATCGTAAGAGAATAGCGTTTCTCTTACTGAGGTCCAATAAATCTTTCTCCTCAATTCCTCTCTGCCCACATGCAAACCCACTGCTGTCCTCTAAAGCATCTGTAAGTAGTAGGTAGGTCTGTCAACAGATTTTCCACAGAGCTGCTCTCTTAGATTGAGATGAACACATTGGTTACTTTGGGATCTAAGGCAGCAAATAGATCTGACAAAGAGAAATCCTTTCTTATTACTAATAATGACGAAGCCAATCAGAACTCCCTTAAACTGCTCCCAGAGAGAGCTTAAAGCTCTCTCTCCCCTATCAATCTGTCCTTATATATTTTCATAGCCCTGTGTCGCATGTGCAGTACAAATGGTGAGAGTTAAAAATCCCATGCTTCTACTCCTTTTATAGGCTACTGAAATTTGATTCAGGCTATCAAATGGCATATTTCCTAGATCAGCCCAAAACATTTAAGCAAAGATAGGAAATGGAATAGTCACTTCCTCAGTCACTTTTCTATAAACCTATGAAAGGAGTTCCCTGAATTACAATACACTTAGGGTCCCACCTAGTCCTTCTCATACAAATGAATGTGAAGACAACTCTTTCCTTGGCTTCTGGGTTACAAGACTGCCACTTGAGCAATGAGGTACTTTACGTACTATATGGTTACCAGGAAAGACAGGATTTTTCACAAGAGGAGAAAGGACCTGAAGACAAAGGGAAGATGGGGGATGAAAACAGACATACAAAATTTAAAACAGTTTCTGATATACTCTCCACCCCCACCCCACAGTTAACAACCACTCATACTCTCCACCCCCATTCCACAGTTAACAACCACAGTTAACAACAAACCTCATCTGGCCTTAACTCCTTATTTTTAAAAATGAGGAAATACCAAGATGCCTTTACAGATGAATTGTCCAAACTCTCATGAACCCTTTCCATTGACTAAACAATAAATTTTCTTGTTATAAGGAGTCTGTCCTGAGCCTATTTTACCAGAAGCCTCCCCTGAACCTTGGTCAACCTACTCTCACCGCCCAGACCATCAACCCACCACACAGTTTTACCATCATGACATTTTTGGCAGAGTGATAATTCAATAAGCTTTCACTGAGCACGTTTGTTTTTTGTTGTTGTTTTTTGTTTGTGTGTTTTGTTTTGTTTGCCAGATACTATTCCAGGTAAATCTTGTCCAAGATACAAGGTGCAAGTGACAAGTCATAGTATCCGTAATAGTAGCAATCCTCCTACTATTTATGCAGCATTCACAGCATTCCAGGCACTGCCCCATGCTAAGCACTCTACATACATTATATCATATAATACTCATAGTCAACCTTGGATGGATATACTATTTTCATTCCCATTTTAAAGACCAGAAGCTGAAACACAGAGAAATTAAACAACTTCCTGTAAGTCATGCAGACTATAAATGGTGAAGCTTGGATTTGAATCCAGACAGTCTAGTACCAGAGTCCTTGATGACAACCACTAGGCTGGGCATTTTCCACTGCTAAGATCAATGTCGAGGGCAGCTTCCTGTTTCTACCCACTCAGTTTCACACAACACTATTGCTTAAACAGTTTTCCACTGAGAATCTCCTTTGGAATGGCAAGCCTAAACTATTTCCTGTTTTCAGCCTCACTTCCCCACCTCTTCAAAGCCATGCTACACAATCCCCTTGTTCTAGGAGCTGGACCGGGATAAACCTTGCATTACTGGAGAAACTCCAGGTACTTACCAATAATATGGTTTCCCAAGAAATTAATTATCATAGGCAATTATCACAGGTCCTCTTTTTTTTTTTTTCTCTTCTTCACTTTGGAGATATTAATTAGAATCTCTAATACTTCCCTTTCTCTTTTTTATAATAAAGCACACTGAAAAAAAAAAAAAAAAGATAGGTGTTTCCGAAATAGCCAGCAGGCCAGGATACAGATTATACAAATCACAAGACAGGGGAGGTTATGGGTTGGGCTAAAAGCATATAAAGCTAATTTAGAATTACAGCAAGGTATGTAAAAGCTGACAGGACTAATTAATCTTTGGAATAAACAAATACATATACAGCTGAGGAACTTGTTATAACAAAAGGCACAGTGGTATAAATATCAACTTGGATTTCAGGCCTGCCTCAACCACTAATGTTCCCGGAAGCAAATTATAATTCAATTTCCATCTATAAAATGGAGATAATGACACCAGGCTGACAGAGTTGTGCTGAAGATTAAATGAGACAATGTATGTGCAAGTACTGTAAGAGTTAAGTTGCTCTGTATGCTTAGGAGTTTGATTCTGAGCACCTTGCTACTAATCAAAAATTTGAAAATAACTTGCTGCAACCCTACACCTTTGCTCCTACTAATTCAGCAAAATTGACCTGTTCACAGTTGATAAGTAGACAATTATTATTAACTTCAAACTTTCACCACCCTTACTGATCCATCAGTTGCCTTTACTGATATTTGTCTTAACAATAACTTCAGAATTTTACTTTTTTTTACAGTTTACAAAGAACTTACTGAATTATTTTAACAAATCTGCAGGTGTATAAGGTTGGTATTACATATTTACAATCAGTAATATTGCAGCTTGGAGAAGTGATGTGACTTGCACAAGATCTCACAACTGATACAATCTGTATGGAAAGACAAGGTAAAAGAATTAAGGGGCAGAAAAATGCTACAAGCCTAAGAATGCAGTCACTTACATAATATAGCTTTGTGGAAAAAGTTCCTTTTCTACCCTGACAAAGAAATACAAAAAGTCTATTCCAAAGTATCTGAAATGATCACAGGTTCTCATTTCATTTATAAAGGCAGTGAGCAAGTTGCAGAGACAAATAAGTATTTTTTTAAAAAATAATGAATAGAGTTTTGCAATGCCACTAAGGTGACTTCTAAAAAAAACACATAAAGTATGGCCATATCATTTATGTTGCCATTAGACTGGAAAAAAAAAAAACAGTGTTACAAAATTTGATCCTTTCTATTCACATTACTTAAGGTATCTAAAAAATCAGCCAAAGCAGTAAGAATAGGGCTTAGAGAAAAAGAAAATGGGAAAATAGAGAAGTAGAGCTTGAGGAGAGAAAAATGGAAAAGTGGGGTGATTGCAAAGGCTTAAATGTCATCTGTGGGTGAAACAATTTATGTGGTCTTAAGTGAGAAGGCACACTGACTAGGAGATCTGGGCTCTAGCAACAACTTTGCTAGGGGATTTAGAAAGTAATAATAACAGGGACTACAGTTTTTTAAGCTCTTACCAGGTGTCAAGCTCTGTGCCAGATGCTTGATACGCGATGAGGGAGCAGAAGGCTAGCCGAAGAGAAAAGCATAAGCTGACACCCTGCAGCCTCTCCCCACCCCCACTCCTGAGTGGGACAAGTGTGACATTCTTCCAGGAATCTCCCAACTATCTTAATGTTAATGCCTTGCCAGGGGGAAAAACAATCTTAGCTTGATAACAGCCAGGCCTCCAGTATCCTGAGGGTTTTCTTTAACATATGAAAATCCTTTTGAAACCTCCCTTTTCCTCACTTCCCCCAATTCCGGAAAATATCATCAGCCACTCCTCAAGACCCCGGTGCAGCAGTTCTTTCTGCCCACTGATCCTGTACCCGTGCTTTAATAAACCACTTTTTTAAAATTTTATTATGTTATGTTAATCACCTTTTTTGCACCAAAGACATCTCAAGAATTCATTCTTGGTCGTTGGCTCCGGACTTCACCCCACTGAACCTCACCTATTATTCTAAAACCACATCAATATGGATTAGCTCACTTAAGTCTCACAAACATTGATAGTTACTATATTATTATCCCAATATTACAAATGAGTCATTTGAGCCTCAGAAAAGTTAAGTCAATTACTCAAGGTCATATAACTTAAGCAAGAGAAGATGTGTATATCTGATTCTTAAAGACTATGTTCCTTTTAACATATAATACTGTCTTTCAACTAATCTCACTTTAGTGAAGCTAAATTTCCTCTCATACAAGTTATCCCTGGGATATCACTCTATTTCATCAGTTAATCTGCTGTGTATCCATGAATGGTTTCAGGATGTGACTCAAAAGCACTAACTTCCTGAATAACTAATCTCGTTTCAAGGAGACCATCCAACATGCACAAATGTCTATTCATAGCTTCTGGCCTATGGCCATGACTCAGCATCATAATCAGCACCTCTGGAACCTGCCAGATCCTGAGGCCTGACAACATGCTGAGATCAATATGTGGCTCAATCAGCATATGAACTAGTGGTGAGTGAAATTTAATTTAGATAATAACTAGCAAATAATTTGTTCTGCAGTGGAGTAATTCACAAAGAATGTTGAAGATGACTGTGTACTTTCAAACACACACAAAAAACTTTGAATCAGACAGATTCATCATACTTGCCACTAGTCAAGTGTTAAGACACCTCCCACAAAAATACACAAAAACGTTAGGCACAAGCTGAATGACAAAAATCACTGTAGACCAATGAAATACAGGTAGGATCTCTTTACAATAAATACTACTTTAACAACAGGTTATCTATAATATGATTATATCTGTGTCCTTGACAACATTACATTCTAACATTGTATACAAAAAAAAAACATTCTGTAGATGCTTTCCTTTATGACATCCTGAGTTCATCCAGCTAACAAGTTTCCTAAAGCATGCACAAAGCCAGTGAATTCAGTTTTGAGCTACAATAGCAACTGCCAGGTTTACAGTGTTAATTTATGAAGCAGTTCACACATTTCAGAATCAGTCCCTAATCTGAGCCGATCAGAGCTTTATTAGGTTATAATCCCACCCAAAAAAACACCAACAGACTTCTACAACCCTTTAAAAAAAGCCCCCACTTCATCCACTTCTTAGAACAGGTCAAATTGTTATTATGAAATATACCTTATATTCTTTTCAAGTGAAGTCACAGCTGTAGAGCAATGCAGTATCTTGAAAGGCACCACTTCTCTGGAACTAGCAAAACAATCTCTTTTGTTCAACACCCTTCTCTCCACTACCAGATGCTCCCAAATACTTGTCAGCAAGCAAACACTGTGTACTCAAAACATTCACTTCGTGTTAACAACTTCAAAAGTAAATAAAAGAGTGTGCCCCACCCCCTCAAATTAAGTAAAAACAGAATACAAAATGTATCATAGCAGGTTTTTATTTTTTTAAGATTTTATCTATTTATTTGACAGAGAGAGCACAAGCAGGGGGAACAGCAGGGAGAGGGAGAAGCAGGCTCCCTCTGGGATCATGACCTGAGCTGAAGGCAAACGCTTAACCGACTGAGCCACCCAGGTGCCCCACCATAGCAGGGATTATATGACTTCAGTGTTATTCTACCAGTATATTCCTTCATGTCCATGAGGTATAAACTGTAAATACATGAAAATATATTGATATTTGATATTATATCATATATAGTACCATCAATTATAGAAAGGAATGCTAACAAAAACATATAAATATTTCTATCACGTATTCATTATTTAACAATTAGTTTTGAAAGCCTACTACATGCCAGGCCCTCTTCCAGGCATGAGGGATACAACAGTGAACAAGACAAAAAACCTGCTCTCCTGGAACTTTCTGGTGTGGGAGACAGACAATAAACATATCAGATAATTATAATTTCTAATTTTGATTTTTATAAAGAAAAATAAAGCCAGATAATATGAAAGAGAGTAATGAGGGCTCCTTTTAGATAGGGTGGTCAGGAAATGCCTCTCTGAAAAAGTGGCATTAAGGACCTCAGTGAAGTGAAGAAATGAATCAGGTAAAGACACAGGAGAAGAATCTTCCAGGTAGAAGGAACAGCACATTCAAAAGCCCTGAGGTGGGAATCAGCTTAGTAGTTCTAGAACTAACAAGACCAGTAGGATAGGAAAGAGAAAAGTTTATCTGATCTCATAAAGATAGGCAGACTGTGGACTATGGTAATGAATTTCTCATTTATTTTAGTAAATAAAATAAGGCAGGGAGGCAACTGGACAGTTGTGAGTATAGCGACATGATGTATGGAAGGAAAGGGTAGAAGCAATAATGCAGGCTAGAGCTGATGGTGATGGGGACCAAGTTGATAGCAGTGGAGATGCTGACAGGATCTACTGATGGATTGAGTGCAGACTATCAGAGGATGATGCCTCTATTTTTGTCATGGGCAACTGGGTAATTATTTATGCAGCCTGGGGATGATACACAAGGGATCAGCTTTGTATGGTTCAGTTTAAGCTGCCTAACTAAACATCCAAGGGAGAAAGATGAATAGGCAGTTGGATATTTGACTCTGGAGATTAGAGGAAAGACCAGAGCCACAGAAACAACTGAAGTCCCCTAGGGTATAAAATAGATGAAATAAAGAAAGGAGGACCAAGAACTGAGATCTGGGACCCTCCAATATATAGAGGTCAAAGAAATGAGGATGTACCAACAAGGGAGACTAAGGAGAAGCCAGGGAGGTGAGAGAAAAATCTAGAGTTTGTGGTGCCCCAGAAACCAAGTAAAGAAAATGTTTCAAGGAGTGATAATAAATAACTGGTGACGTTGATAAGGGAACAGGTGGAATATCTGAAGCAAAACTCAGATTAAAGTGGGTTCAGGAAAGAATGGATGGGCCAGTGGAGACAATGAGTACAGTTAACTCTGCTGAGAAGTTTGCTATAAAGGGTCAGAGGTGCTCCTGCTGGGAGGCAATCACACATTTCTTTCCTCTTGAAAACATAAATGGAGAACATCTCACATGAAGGTTTGATCCTACTCTTCCTTGGATTTATTCTTTTTTTTTAAGATTTTACTTATTCATTTGACAGAGAGAGACACAGCGAGAGAGGGAACACAGGCAGGGGGAGTGGGAGAGGGAGAAGCGAAGCGG